TTTGGTTCCACTTGTGAGATGAAACAAGCAAGCATAGCTTCTAGATTCTGTTGGGCACTCCTTGTGCGAACACCAGATTGAATATCTCCAATGATCTGTTGAGGAGGATGATCCCTTAACCAACGAAGATTGTGTTGATTGGGATTGACTGGTTGATCTAGTTCAGCTTCTGGTTGAAGAACAGAAGTTGTTGGTGTTTTCGAATGGATTGGCACTGGGTCGCCATTTCCGGAATTGTCGCCGTTTGAGATATCCGGAATATTGGAAGGCTGGTCAAAATTTCCGGAGGGCTCAGCACTGTCTGAATCCGGATTTCTCTGTGAAATCTTCAGAGGCAGACTTCTGAATGGAATGAATTCCGAGGGCTTCATTCTATCTCCTTTATTGACTTCTTCATCCTTGTCTGATAGATCCAGAACCTCATGATCATGCTTTGATGGTTTGTCAACCACATGTTTTTCATCAAAAATAACATGTATTGACTCTTCAGTGATCATGGTTCTTTTGTTGAAGACTCTGAACGCCTTGCTTACCATGGAATATCCTAGGAAGATGGCCTCATCTGATTTCTCATCAAAAGTGTTCAGATGATTCTTCCCGTTGTTTAACACAAAGCACTTGCTCCCAAAAATATGGAAATATGATATATTAGGCTTTTTCCCGTTCCACAATTCATAGGGAGTTTTGTTGTGCCTTTTATAAATCATACTCCTATTTTGAGTGTAGCAGGCTGTGTTAACTTCTTCAGCCCAGAACCTCTTTTGTAAGGAAGCTTCTGCTAGCATGGTTCTCACTGCTTCCTTCAGAGTTCTGTTCCTTCTTTCAGCTACACCATTCTGTTGAGGTGTCCTTGCCGCAGATGTCTGATGAAGAATTCCGTTTTCTTCACAGTAGTGAATGATGATTTCATTCAGGAATTCTGTGCCTTTGTCAGATCTGATCTTCTGAATGGTCTGACTTGCTTGGTTTTGAATCAGCTTCATGCAGTTGGTGAGTTTCCCTTGAGTCTCCTTCTTGCCGTTGAGAAAGATTGTCCATGTGTATCTTGAGTAATCATCAACTACCACAAGGACATATTTCTTTCCACTTAGACTTATTGGTGTAACAGGGCCAAATAAGTCCATGTG